TTTGAGATGGAATCTCGTTCTGTTGCCCAGGCTGGAGTGCAGTGGCGCCATCTCTGCTCACTGCAACCTCCCCCTCCCAGTTCAAGCGATTCTCCTGCCTCAGCCTCCTGAGTAGCAGGACTACAAGTGCATGCCACCACGTCCAGCTAATTTCTTGTATTTTGTGTAGAGATGGGGCTTCACCATGTTAGGTAGGATGGTGTCTATCTCCTGACCTTGTTTGATCCTCCTGCCTTGGCCTCCCAAAGTGCTGGGATTACAGGCATGAGTTACCGTGCTTGGTGTGTACTTGCACATTTATTAAAGTTATTGTAATTAATGCCAGTGAGGAAAGCAGCAACAAGACAAGCAGGAGGAAATAAATTGTTTTTATATTATTTTTGAAGCACATTATATTGGCCATATATTTAGGGCAGAGGAGTGGCAGATTTACTGTGCTCTTGTCACTGTTTTTCTTCAAGTAATATTTAAATTATATGGAACCTCCTCATCCTCCACATTTTTAGAACTGTGTAGTAGCTAGTTGGGGAAAGTTAGTTTGTAAACTTAAATCAACTAGATGTAATTCATTCTGAAGAATTCATAATAGAAATATTCAAGAGTTGGCTTAGGGAATGCACCTTAAGATTACACAGAAGGCTGCAGCTCTCCTAAAATTTGAAAAGAAAAAAAAAATGAGTCGGCTTAGTAGCATCTTAGCAGTAAAGTATTCATTGTATCATGGAAAGAGCATGAATTTAGTATGAGTTGTGGAATATTTAGAGTAATAAGTTTTTGAGATTTCAGGTGAAAGTTAACTCTCTGGAGTGTCCACACCCTTGATCACTTCTTAAATTTATTTTTCCAGGTCCGGACCCTATTTGTCAGTGGTCTTCCTCTGGATATCAAACCTCGGGAGCTCTATCTGCTTTTCAGACCTTTTAAGGTACCTTTTTTATCTTTCAGAAATCATAAAATGAGACAAAATTCTGTATGCTTCCTTGGGGCTTTTTGGAGCAAGAAATGAAATATTTGAGAAAGCACTTCGTATAGTGATGTTTTTAAAAGGTTAATGAGTAAAGGAGATTTAATAACTGAGTTCTAATGTACAGCCTCACTTAGGATAATAGACTGAAAGTACCTCTGAACCTCCAACAGGCAATCTAGAAAAGCCCGTGCTCTTGCTGATGTGGACATGCATCTGGCTGGCTGGCTGTGTTCCATGTAGAGCAGCCTTAGTGTCCTTCCTGTTTGTCCTCTAATTGGGAGTGCCCTTCTTAGAGTAGATCACTAAAAAAATTATAAATTACATATTTATATTTCAGATGGCAATGATGTAAGCGAAGATTTATTCCTAAGTTCCTACCTTATTAGTTGAAATACTACTGTTGATACTGTTCTTTGGAAATGTAAATAGGTTTTTATGAACTGGGTTAAGAACCTAACCACCATTATTTTTTTCCATGGCAAAAGTGTCCCTAAGTTTCAAACAAAGCAAAACAAAATTTTAAAGGATACCTAGTTATGAGTTGAGGGTAATATTTCCTGGTGTTTATTGAAATAGTTAATGCAGTTACCTGTCATTCCTTTGGAAATAAGATCACTTGATAGATATTTAGTGTTGCTAGGACTGAAAACTTCATAGGAAATTAGACACCAAGGACATAACAGAAACTAAACTGAAATAATCATGCTGGCAAGAGGAAACCTTTTGAAGGTTGGCCTTTGGATGATAGAAGAAAGCTGGAACTGTCTGAATTGAGGCCCTGGGAAGGATAATAAGTTCAGGGCCTGTGTTCAGGAAGTCTGAGTTGGTCAGTGTGGATGTGTTAGCAGCAGTGCCTGGCAGGGACTGCACTTATGATTAGGTGATAGGCTGTCTTGCTTTCTGGTTAAAGATATCCTCATTGAAGCAGGTCCCCAGCAATAGAGGTGTGACAGGTTGAGGGAGAGGATTCAGCTTCTTAGGGAAAGCGAACAGGATATGGCAACTAAAAACTCTTGTGTTGGAGAGGAGGAAGGAGGGTTGCAGGGGCAGCCAATTAAAACCAAGATAAAATAGTGTAGCTTATGTGCTAAGAGGGCACCGTGTCATAATGGACATAACTCCACCTGACAGCCGTCCCTTTAATGCAACAATAATGACGATGGCACAGGGAAACAGGTCAGGTGCCAGGTCAGGTGGGAGGAAGTAAGAAAGGAAGAGAAGGTGTTGTGGAGAGTGTGCCACCTTTTATAGAATTTTCCTGAGTTTCTTCTTCAGGGTTGTACTTTTATAAAAGGGACAACTTTTCTATCCTTTTTATAGAATGCAGACTTTTAAAGTGAATCGATATTCTTAGTGTATAAAATGCTGTTATGTTTTGGGGTGTATAGAGAGAAAAACATTCAGCCAGCAATCCCCTTATGTGAATTATCTCATTAAAGTATTGTCACAATTCTTTCGAGTGGGTGGGTCTCATTTTTTCAAATGAGGAAAATTAAATTTGGAGCAATTGAATAAATTGTGCTCAAGTTTATACACATAAAAGATGACAGAGTCAAGATTCAAGACCAGGTAGTCTGACTCTGCCGTCTCTGTTCTGAACTATCATGTTACACTACATCTCTGTTTGTGACTTGAGAACACAGTATATCCCTACCAGTGGTGTTTTACTTGAGTGAAATATCCAATTGTCCTTCTAGATCTTCATGGTGCTTAAACCTCCAGTTTTCTTTCAGAAGAGAGCACCTTGAAGAAACAAAGAGGCAGAGCTATGAATCATGACCTCTCTGGCCATAAGAGCCCAAGGCCATTGAGGTGAAATGTTTATAGTAGCTAATTGGTAACATAGTTCTGTGCTGGGAAGATGTAAGGATGAATCAATCTCAGCATCCTGCCCAGAAACCCTGACGATGAAGTCAGGACCCTAGTACATTCCTGACAGCCCTCTTTCAATTAAAGTCCCTGGAGGCTGACCCTAGTCTGCAGATCTGTCTCTGCACTGATGTATTTAGTGGTCAATCATGTCAAGTGGTGTGTTTTTCCCCTGTGTCATCCATTAATGCAAGCCACCAGCTATTGATTATTTTCAGAACTAAACACATTTTGTTATCCTGAGGAGCTGGGAGGGGTGAAGAGAAGGAGTGAAAGGAAGGGAGTGTTTCTGTCTTCCTAGAGTAGAGCTGGAATAAAAACCCAAAAGTATTTTAGCATGTCCCAATCAGAATAGCAACATGAAAACTGTTTCCTTCAGCAAGTAAGGAAAATAACTCAACAAAATTCAACATCATTGTCTGCTTAATGTTTTCTGACAGTTTCGAAAATTTGGTTAGGGAGTTTTACCAACTATATTTTTAATGTTTTATTGTTGTTACCTTGCAGCAGATATGACCAAATCAACACATTCTCTGACCTTTCTGTTTTACCTTCTTTCCTTGCCTAGTTCTGTAAAACCCCTATTCTTATCTAGACCAAGAAAACAAAACGATTACTGTAAACACAGACACTAATTTTCTACCATTGTATAATTTCATGGAAGAAAAGAAAAAAAAAAAAAAGAGAAACACATACATATAAGTCCATAGACTGATTTTTTAAAAGGCCCCAAGAATGCAAACAGGTGTGTGTACGTGCACATGCATGTGTGTAATTTGCTTTCCCACATAACTTAGGAGACATTTGTAAGAGGAGTTAGGTAATCAATAAAGAATTTATTTTTACATGAACAAGATGGTATTACAATTACTTTTTTGGCTAAACTTGGTTTTTCTTTATTTTCAGGGCTATGAGGGTTCTCTTATAAAGCTCACATCTAAACAGGTAAGAATTTCAAACTGGCATATAAAGATCACTTTTTTACTTCAGGAATGTTGCTGGGGCTTGACATTCTTTTTTTATTCCCATTAGAATTTGAGGTTTTTTGTTTGTTTGTTTGTTTGTTTGTTTGTTTTTGCCTTTAAAATTAAGAGTGAGATGTATTAGGAATTAGCACAGAAAAATGTTTCATAATTCTATAGTCTTCAGCTGGAATTTCAGGGACTGTCCCAGAGCAAGATAAATACAATAGTTTATTGAGATTGATTTGGTGAATAAATGAAAATAATGGCTTATTATTTAAATTCACTTTTATTCCCAAGTCTTTTTCATTTCTTTTTATGAGGTTAAACAAACTTTTACAATCAATGTGAATATCAGATAGTGAAGGATCGTACTGTCTGTCAAACCCCTGAAGTAAGGCAGAGTCCCAAGTCTAGAATGGAACAGAGAAGGTACAAAATGGAAGTGGTAGTCAGTGATTCTGATAGTTCCTACAAGTTTCCTAGAGACTGTAGCTATATTCTTTCTTTTTTCTTTTCTTTTTTTTTTTTTTAAGCTAAACACTTGGCATACACACCTCTCCTCCAGTCACTGTTCATCTCTCTGGTTCATCAGAAGAATGACCTTGGAGGCGCACCCTTCTGGATTGATAGATGTGTGGAGTCCAAAGGGGTTGTGGCCTTCCTGTATTTACTCGGAACAGCCTAATTAAGC